TCCCGCTGCGGAGCTGGAGCAGGGGGCTCTGCACAGCGTGTGCTGCGCGCCGGGCGCGGCTGGGTGGCTCACGCTACGTGTCGGGGTCTCAGGTGGGGTAACTCGTCTGAGCGTGGGCGAGCCGTGCTTCTCTGTGCCTCGGTTTCTCTGCGTGTAAAATGGGACTCCCGTGTCCCACAGACACAGCAGCAAATAAACTAGAATGGCGTTTTTTAGGATGCTGTGGGTAAGGAATGGGGGAGTGGCGTGTTTATGACTGGTTCGCCATGGACAACTGCAGATTTGCCTGCCATACGAGCCCAAAATTCTGCTGCCTCTGTGTAAACTCTCTCCTGAACGAGCCTAACTGAGTTTAACGGCGTTTCTACACAGAACCCAACATTTCAGAGCTGGTTTCACAGTTCTTAGTGGGGCAGAAATGTCATATGACAGAGGGGTGACTGCCAAATGTCAGCCCATTTTCACATCATGCATTGGCAGAACACAGAGATGCTCAGAGAGAGGAGACACGTTATTCATTATGCCAGAACGACTGGTAATGTTACCAGAGTGACCAGCTCTAACCAGCTTTTTGTGCTGCTCTCTGTTTTATTCCGCCATTTCCTCTTATGAGGGGATTTTGTAAATGGGTGCTCTGAGGTTGTCAAACTACTGACAGAAATTGGTAAAGTCCCAGGGTTACAGCCCATGGCTTCAGAGACACAGGAGGGTGCCGGCTGCATCGAAGAGAGAACCCGAGTCCAGCCCAAAACCACTGCAGCTGAAATGCACCTCTCTGCACTTCACATCTTAACGAGGAACCACCCGGGACTGACCTCATTTGCAGATGCAGAGATGGTGATTTGATTTTACTTTTCCAGAACTTTGAAGCAAATGCAAAGTGGACAATTCAATGGTTTCCATAATATAAATACATGTATATTCACCCATCCTCTCCCCAGTTTAAAAATCGGAAGCTCTGGTTGGTCATGTGGGATTTACCTGGCAAACCCTGCCCCGCAAGCGCCCCCCTCCCCAAGGGGGAGCCAGGGTCAGTGTAGCAATGCTCACTCCTTGCAAAGGGGTAAATCCATTAATATTTTAACTGTCAGCCTGTTGTCAGTATTATTCTTCCTTTGATCTTCAGATGTTGCAAAGAAGTCAAATATAGGCACTAAAAATACTGACTTGCTAATACAGTTTAAGAAAAAGAAGAAATAGACCACTCGGAAAAGGCCAGGCTAATAGCCTTAGCAAAGTTAGAGTAAAGAAGTGGTTAAGGATCTAGATGATTTAATCCAGTTTTAAGAAAAGGTTTTACAGTGAGCAATTAGATGCTGTTTAAGGAATTAATCACTAATGGGTCATTAACTCTGACTGCTATTGTACAGTTAACAAGCCGAGGCAGGATTATTAGACTCAGCACCCAATTAAGAAGGAGAAGATATTTACGACAAAATGAACAAATGAGCATTTAAAATGGAATGGGACAATTTGAAAGAAAGTGTAGGAACACAGAAAGCTAGACAGGGCACAGGAGAGAGCTGAGTTTGCATGTGCCCCTGTGCCTTTATTTGTTTGAAAAATATTCACCTGTCTGTGCGCACTCATGTTTAGCAGGTTAAAATACTTATTTTCAGCTATAAATGCATAGCTTTCCTCGAAGGACGTGACTGCACGGTTTATCCATTCCAGGATTCGCATGTGCAGCGTTTAACGAAAGACCTGGTTACCGTGTCAATAAAAGAACAATCACCACAGCCTGACATAATCTTTCATTTTTGCCTCACAGGTGTTGGATCAGGAGCTCGATAAAAGTGATGGGGTGTCTCCAGCTGCCGTTTCTGCTGCCCCGCCGTGGTGTTTTTATCTCGTTAGTCTCTTATTATCTCACCTAACCAAGCGTCAGCGCGGGTCGCTGCTGGTCAGGAAGTCGGGGGGTCCTTCCCATGCCCTTACAGGATGCAGAGGAACTGGGGGCAACAGGGATGGGGTAGAAGTGTCAAAATGTGGGAGAAAACCACTGAAACCGCGGGGAGTTCCTTGCTAGCCACAAGCAGCGAGCACAGTAAGAGCTTTTGGGCAGCATTCAGACACTCTGATGTGCAGGAGAGTTTTCAGCATCAGAGCGCAGCCCGGTGATGGTCGGTGGGACTGGGAGTCCTGGGCAGGGACAGCACAGAGCCTTGTGTGTGCCTGCACCGAGATGGCACAGATGCACAGGCACCTCCAAGCACCCTGAGACACCAAAACACCAAGACGCCCTCCCCTTGCACCACCCAGGTCTGCCCTGGCCACCAGCACCCTCGGGGACACAGGCACAGCTCACTGCAAAAGGGCCGCCAGAGCAAGACATAACAGCTGCAGCAACGCAGATTTTGTCCTGTCCTCCCCGCAGAAGCCTGCCCCGGTCTCCTTACTGGGAGGCAGCAAAACATCCCCTGGTCCTGATGGCGGCAGCGCTCTCTTTTCCTGACAGCACAGGCGCTTTCCTCGCCAGGAAGCCGAGAGCGGTGAGCTGGGGCGGCTGAGCACCCTCACGGACACACGCACGGCCCAGGCTGCACCCTGGATCCAGCAGTGACCACTGGCAAGGCCTCCCCGCACCCCCAGACCAGCACAGGTCAGGGAAGGGGGCTGGGGCCCGGGCACAGCGGGTGCCCATCCAGAGGCAGGTTGGATCTGCAGGGAAAGGCGTTTCAAAATAGAGGGATTCCTGTTATTATCCGTAAAAGCAGCTCCCCAGACAATAGATGGGGGCTGCTGTGGAGGGATGTTTAGAAACTGCTGCCTAAGGTTAAAAAGCTCTCTGAAGTGAAGCTGAACAAAGCTGACATACTTGTTTCTGACAGGACTCTTAAAAGATACGCGCAGATTGTGAAAATATAATTAGACGCCAGCCTTTGTCTGGCCACAACGAGTGGGAAATGGTGAAAGGAGAGGTCTCCCAGTCTGCATTGAATCATCCCCAGGACACAATGAGGGCGCTTGTGCATCCTTCTCCCTTCCCTAATGAGAAACGTTAATTGCCATAACCCCCCGAGTGTGTAGAGCACCCCGTGCCCAGTGGAGGAGAAGGGGTGTTTCATTACAGCTTCTCAGCCCCATTAGGGGCAGTAACAGAGATAATGAAAAATAAAGATGCTGCAGTTTTAGTTTCGGCAGCTTGGTGATGGGCGTTGGGTGGGCAGGGGAGTAAGCAGGGCCCAGCGCCGTGCCCA